GAGAGAGAGGAACCTTGATGTGAGAGAGACACAGCGATTGGTTGCCTCCTGAACTCTCCCTGACCAGGGCCGGGGATGGAGTCTGCAATGGAGCTACATGCCCTGGGTCAGAACCGAACCCAGGACCCTTCAGTCCCCAGGCCAATGCTCTAACCACTGAGCCAAACTGGCCAGGGCAGGAATATTTTTAAATGAATCAATGTGGTAAGTTTGGTGGCTTTCTTTTTCCTGCCTGCGGAGTCTCAGAAATCCTTATGTGTTTTCATTCAATTAATGCCTTTCACGGTGCTGAGAGGCACACTCGCCTAGTTCCTTTACATTTATCTGTATGCCTGCCTGTGTCTTTTCCTCTTCCAGGAAATTTAGAAATACTGATTCATTTGCATCCCTGTCCTAAAGCAAGCCAGTTTATCTGTAGTTATCAAATCCAGCATCTCCATAAGCAGGCCTCATATGAAACACCAGAATCTGATTTCTAAACATAATATAGGAAAATTTATTTCCAGAGCAAATGTGGTAAAACTATAAACACAGAAATGAATAAGTGGGGTACTATAGAGTAAGGCTAGAGGAGGGAAAGACAGAATTGATATTTCAGAACATGGAAAGATTGGGCAAAGGAATGAAAAAAGTGACAGAGTGGGAATAGTAGACTGCTTTAGAAATTGATAGAGAGCATGGAAGTTTACAAAACCAGTTTAGTGGTTTTCAACCAGCATATTTTTAAAATGCTACATGAAATAAAAAGGGGGAGGGATCTTTTTTAAAAAAAAAAAGAAAAAGAAAAACAAGAGGAGAGAGGGGGAGAAATAATTTTTAAAATAAAAATGCTAAGTAATAGAATAAAACAATGTAAAATACATAGCATGGAAGAATAAATATTGTTTTGGGAACATTTTTCAATATATGTCAATTAAGGGGTTCAGACCAGTCTTCCACAAGGTTTGCCACTTTGGCCTGTGCATTACTTTTTCCCTTAATTTTTAAAATTTTATTTACCTATTTTTATTTAATTATAGGTGGTATACAATATTATATTAGTTTCCGGTGTAAAATATAGTAATTTGACACTTATATACCTTACAGTGTAATTACCACACTCAGTCTGGTAACCATCTGTCACTGCAAATTTGTCACAATATTATTGACTACACTCCTCTTCACTCTTTTCACCCACCCCCCTATCACCTTTCTCCCTGGCAACCCTCAACAGGATCTCTGTTTCTATGAGTCTCGTTTTGTTTCATTTTGTTTGTTCATTTGTTTGTTTTAGATTTCACATATATAAATGAAACCATATGGCATTTGTCTTTACCTGACATGTGAATTATTTTTGCCTGAAGGAGACCCTGCCGGTTCAGGAGAAACTTTTACCTCTCCCTTCCCTTAAAGAATTCAAATTGGGGGGTCTTGCCCATTATGAGTTATCAGAAATAACTTTTAATGACTATCTCTAAGGCAGGGCAAAGTTTGGCCTCCCTTTGAAGCCTCCAGCACGTTATCTCATCCTTAGCTCAAAATGCCATATATACCTCATTTTCTCTTTCTGTCTTTGAACCCTCTCATGTGTGGGGGGTTCCTATTAATACACATGTAATTAAATTAAATTTTCTCTTGTTAATCTTTCTTGTGGATTTAATTATAAGATCAGCCGAAAGAACCTACAAGAGTAAAGTTTCTTCGTCGCCCACATAGCTATATATAAAATGTATTTTTATATATGTAACTGTAATATATGTTATAAATAAGTGAACGTGCACATCCGTGCCTGGGACTGTTTTGTAAACTATTTCCTACGTAGTGGGTCTTGTTGCAAAGTTTGAAAGCCCCTGAAACACTGGACCGGGAAGGATCCAGGGAAGGTAAATTCAAGGTCAGATGAGAAAGCCCCTTTTCTCTCCGTTGGCCGCCAAGAGAAGTGAAGGGAGGGAGAGGAAATGGGGCGTGAGGGGGGGCGCCGCGCAGCGAGGTCCAGCGACAAGGGACGGCGCATCCGGGCTGGGAGGTGCTTTCTGCTGGACAGAAAATTCAGGGACATGGAGACGTTCATTTGGAGCGTTTCCTTTAAATGCGAAATCGAAAGAACTTCCGCGTTCCTCGTCCCAGAAAAGCCTACAAGGTGAGGGGTTCGCGTTGCTTCTGGAGGTGACACTCCGTGGGGGTCGGTTCCCGCAGAGGGGGTCGTTATTATTATTCTGTAGGGCGGGGAGCTGGGAAGGTGGGCGGGGCGCAGGGAGCGCGGGAAGGCGGGGCCCCGTCGGCCCGGGAGCGCTCGGAGGAACGGGCGGCTCTGCTCT